TGTAACTTTTCATTAGGAAGTCATTATTTGTCAGACTACAATGTTTTAAAGTATTTGCTAAATTTTCTGAGGGTATTCATTTATTCATATTCATTATGAGAGCCAAAGTTCATCAAAAACAAAACAAAACAGCATTTTACCCCTCCAGGTCTACCAATTGAAATAAAATAAATTTTTGAAGACTGGAATAAACTTGATAACAAATAGGCCCTCCATTAAACAATCTAAATAACGTCCACCTTGAAATTCCACAGAGTGAAGATTTTTTCTACACTATAACACATTCTAGCTTTTATTCTTTAAGAGGCTCTGAATTCTGAATCAACATCTTTCAGCAAATCAATGCCAAATCCTTTAAATTTCTGTGCCAGTAGCATTGTGTGGAAACTCTTACTATGTAAATTTGTGCTCTATTTAGAACTTCACTGAAAAAGTTCCATATATGTATGTGAAATTCTTATGTTTGTTCATTTCAGTTTTGGTACTTGTGTGATGAAAGCACTGCATTTTAAGTAAACATAGACTCATTCTAAGACTTAATGGATAATTAATATTTTTCTTTTTCAGCATTGTATTGCATATTGAGATGAAATCTGCAATTCTCTGAAATTATCGTGCTTGATTTTCTTGGATCCATTTAAAGCTAAGCTGTACTGTCAGATTGATCCTCAGTGAGACGTACCAAACTGGAACAGGAGAAAGGATAAAAGATAAAGCATTTCAAACAGCCTTAAGTGCAGACCCATTTCCAGAGCCTCTTCCCACTCATGCGCTCTAGCTACTGTTAGTCTCAACAGTGTCTGCTTCCTATAGTTCGATATTCTCTGGAATCTCCAGGCTGGGATTTTTGGAAACCAAGCAGGCAAGTGTTACAGATAGCATCAATTTTGTGTTAAGATTAAGGCAGGGTGACTTGATTCTATCAGAAATGTTGTAGCTGGTCCAAACTCTAACTAGATTTGAGGATGAACATACTTGAAGACAGTTCTGAGGCACCAACACCAGAAATTGTGAACTCGTTGGTCACTCATGACACAGACAAGGAAGCCATTCTTTGCCTTCAGAACGAAGTTGATGAGATACAAGATCCTACTGAACCTCTGCATAAGAGGCTTCGTTTGTCCCCTAAGGTTGACTCAACTCCTTGTGTGCCAATTGTTGCATTCCATCTACCTGAAAAAGATCACAGCTCTGAGAGGGCCATGATGGTGACCTCAGATGTGGCAAAGGAGCTTACTGAGCGACGTATGATGCAGGTCTCAACTTTACAGAATTACAAACCAGATGAAGCATCTCCTTTGGATGATGAGGATGATTCAGTAGTTAATCAAGGGTGGTCCAGAGGTAAAAAATATAAGACTACTGCAACCATTCAGGAGCATAAGTGGAAGCTGGGGATGTGGTCCAAAGAAGAAACTGAAATTTTGACAAGCAATATTGAATGCTATATGATGGCAAATGGAATAAATGACGTTTCAGAAATCATCTTTAAGATGTCAAAATGCGAAAGAAGGAACTTCTACAGGTCTATAGCACGGGGTCTGAACCGGCCTTTGTTTTCTGTCTATAGAAGAGTGATTCGCATGTATGACGACGGAAACCACAAGGGAAAGTACACAACTGAAGAAACTGAGAAGTTCAAGGAGCTCTGTCACCAGCACGGCAATGACTGGGCATCAATTGGAGCAGCGCTAGGCAGAAGTGTATCTTCTGTTAAACGTCGGTACCAACTTATGAATGACACACACAAGACGGGTAAATGGGCAGAAGAAGAAGAAAGAACACTTGCAGAGGTGGTTCATGAATTGACAAAGACCAATCCGGGTGAACAAGTCACCAAGGGTGTGCCCTGGACTGCTGTAGCTCAACGAGTCTGCACCCGCTCGGCTAAGCAGTGTCGATCTAAATGGCTCACGTACCTGAACTGGAAACAGAGTGGGGGAATTGAGTGGACCAGGAAAGATGGAGTGACTCTCATCCTGAGGTTAGCAGAACTTGATGTGGCTGATGAAAGTGACATTCACTGGGACCTCTTGGCTAAGGGTTGGAGCAGTGTCCGTTCCCCACAGTGGCTTCGAGATAAATGGTGGGCCATCAAAAAGCAAGTTTCAAACTATAAGGACATTGCATTTCCAGTCTTAGTAAAATGTCTTCAACAATTACATGAGAAACAAAGTACCAGCTTCAGGCTTTGGGATAATAAATCAGGATACAAAGTGTCAGACAGTAATCCTGACTCCCAGGAACAGCATGCTCCCATCGGAGTCTCTGGCCCTGAAGGCAATCCAATCATCTCTCCAGTTCCCATCGAAGAGCTTCATATTGCAAACCAGGTCAACCCTGTCACAGCAGACTCCCCTACTTCTCCCGTCAGCTCTGAAGCAGTAACCCTATCCAGTGGATCACAATAGATAGTGGACATCCTTCCATCTTTCTACTTATCGTCCACTAGATCACCTTGTACCTACTTCTTTTAAACAAGCCCAGTTCAAGACCCTTCCCTATCCATCACCACGGGAAACCTAACGTCTGCTGCTCCTGTTTCTTCTAAACCTATCATGGACCATATTTTATCCATAGAACCTTTGTTGAACACCAGTGACAATGACACATTGTCATAAACCAGGAATGGTGATTGATACACCAACAACTGTCATTTGAACTGTGGATGTTGATGCCACTTTTTCCACATCCCAAGAAGAATCAGTTGTCCATAGTGATATCTACTCATATTTTCCTAAGGTTTCAGGTGCAGTCCCATCTTGCCCAAATGAAATTTCCTCAGCCGAAGACGGCTCTACAGTCCTTATTCAGTGGATGCTCATGTTTCTAAATTCACTGACCAAAACAGGAGAAAATGGATGAATAGTGTTATGATCAGAACAGAGGAATAAACTCCCAAATACCAACCTTAAGAAGAATCACCCTTGATTTAACCAGTGCTCGTATTACTGAGGAATTATCCCTTCCCCGTCAGAACATGTTCATTAAATAATTGATGACTAAATCATACTTAACGCTCATTCACTACTTGACATTTTTTAGGCATGTGGTATAACAGATGGCTCATCTGCCTTGCCTTTGAGAAGACTAACATGTCTCATAATTCAACATCATTGCAAAGAATCAAATACCCTTGGTTGATCCTTAAGGAGTCCTGTTTCTGGAGACTCAAATGATGTTGGAATGGTAACATATTTCTAGGTCATCTTTATAGAAAGAAATGAAGAAGCCAAACTGTTAAATACAGAGTCTCCAAAGAAATAAAAGCAACTCACTATTCTCATGACTTTTACATAGATATAGTGCTTTAGCTAAGCACATTATGGATGTTGTGACTTTTTAACTTCTTAAGTAAATGCTCTGAAGCACAATTTCATGGTGGTTTGCAGTTGAGTGCATAATGGGAATTTTAATTGCACATATCCCTTTTCAGAGTTGTGAAGAGGGAAGTTCACTCACACCAGCTACTGAAAAAAATTTAAATCTCTAAACCTGAGCTGTAGTAATATTTAGTTCCACAGATAAAACATGGTGCTCGATTCTGTCTCAATGACATTTAGTTATATTTCAGATATGAACTAACAATGTAGTATTGTGGTTATTGGTTACTGTCTCCTCAACGTTTTACCGATGGGAAAAGAGTCATATTTCTTCTATCTGATAACATGACATCTTACTACATGCTGTACTTTATAGAAAACCCAGAAAAATAATGGAGGCTGGCTTATTTTGTCTGATAGACAAGTTGTGTTGTACCCCCAGGGCCATCTAACGTGATAAGTAAGTGGCAATTGTAAAACACAGTTTACTGACATACCAAAATAAAAAATAAAATATAAATAAATAATAAAAGAAAGAATTAAAGAAAGAATAAATAATAAATAAATAAATATAAATAAATAAATAAAAAGAGCCATTAGTACTAGCTTGCCAAAACTGGCTTCTCAGCTTTAGTGTATGTGACTGCTTTTGAAAAATCACAAAACATATACAGAGAATTGTGATTATGGAGATACAATTACAAGCATAATAGCTAAAGTTTCTATTAGTAAAAGACAAACAGTACAAGAAAAGTTGGTTGAATGACGACAACATGTGTACGTTCAGTTTAACAAGAATACAAATATATCTGTTTAACAAGTTTTACAGTTTAACAGTGTAACAGTTTAGCAGTCTTACAATTTAAGAGTCTAACAGTTTAGCAATCTAAGAGTTAAGAGTTGAACACTTTAAGAGTCTAACAGTTTAACAGTCTAACAGCACTCTAACAGTTTAAGAGTCTAACAGTTGAAGAGTCTAACATTTTAATAGCTTAAAATCTAGTTTAAAAGTATAGCGGCTTAAAATTTAATACTTTAAAAGTCTAACATTTTAACAGTCTAAAAGTTTAACAAGAATAAAGAATCTCTGCTTTAAAATGGAAAAAAAAATAAGGTTTTTTTCTATGTGTTTACCCAAAATTTCTTTCTACTGACTTTCTGAATGACTGTTTAGAACAATATTGATTCCTGGTGGACTAACTCAAATGTGAATATCCTTCACAAAATAAAACAAATATAAGCCTACACTGGGTATCCTTTTAGATAAAGGTAACTAACTGAGTCAGTCCTTCATCATGGGAAGATCCTCAGTATTTGAGGACACAGTACACGTTAAGGAAAGGGAAGTATATGGAGTAGCTACCTGCCCTCTGCTCACACATATTTTTACTCATGTGAACCCTGGAAATTCTCTCAGGGTTCTTCTTTTCATTTAACAATAGCACTTGAACATGAAGTCTGATGTGTGTGTGTGTGTGTGTGTGTGTGTGTGTGTGTGTGTGTGTATTTGAGATGCTGTGGATCACCCTAAGAAATCACATATGATAGGTGAATGATGTCCACTTAATGACCCCCAGGTAGTAAACTTTTCGTTTGGAGACAGTCTCACTCTGGAGCCTAGACAGGTATGAAAATCACTGTACCATCCAGTTCAGCCTTAAACTCCCAATAAAACTCTTGCCTGAGCCTCTTGAGTACTGGAATTACTGGTGGCACCACCGGCCCAGCTTTGTAAATGCTTTGCTGTCTATGAAATACAGTGAATGGTATCTAGTATGCACGCACCTGAATGCTTTTACAAGACCTGCAAACACACAACTGGATTGATTCATGCCATCTATTTTATCCTTCATTTAAGTTAGGAATGCTTCTTTTTTCAGGAATAGTGGAAATCAGCTGGTAGCAGTACTGTAAACCTAACGTAGAGTTGAAGCAGAATTGCTTTAAGAAAGAGAATTTTAAAATAATCCTTTAGTAACTTTTAGGGAGTAAACATTTTCTTAAGCTTTCCTCTGGGATTGCTCATCTTCCTGATTTATTTCTTCAGTCTGGAAATTAGTCTGGCTACATGTTCCTTGGCACGTGCCCAGAGGACTCCTTCTGCTGTGGAGATAGGTTACATGCATTTTTGTTGCTGTTCTTTTCATAATCGCTAAGAAATGCAAACAGTCTAAATGTCCCTCAACTGACAAGTGAATAATGAAAATTTGATACATCTATACAATGTATCCACTCAGTGGTAAAGAGGAAATCATCAGATTTACAGGTAAATGGATGGAACTGGAGACTATTACACTGAGCGAAGTAACAGACTCGGAGAAACAAGTGACAGATGTTCTCCCTCCTTTGTGGAACTTAGCACCAGTTCCTTATATGTGAGCATAACTCCTGTTGTAACAGCAGGAGCCAGGAAAACTGAAAGAAAGTATGGAGGTAAAGGGAAGCAAAGAGCCTGAGAGAGAGGGATACTAGGAAACCGATGTTACCAAGGGAGAAATGCGAAAATCTGGTGTATTCAACTGGGAAGGGAAGAGGGAAGACATACAAGGATACATGGGGATAAAGGGGAGTGAGATAGAAGAAAGAAATACGGCTTAACTATTGTGAAAAATCAGAAGGAAATTTCTTAGCTCAAAAACCTACCACAAATATGTGTATCTGGACATGAGTTCATTTCAGTATAACAAGAAACACAATGCCAGATGGGAGAAACATCCCTTTGAGCTGTTGGTCAGGGTAGTCTAAGAGAATCCAAAATTAACATAGGCCCTGGCCACAGCCCTTGATTACCTTTCATAGCTTAAAAGTAAGATCCTTTTGCTAAAAACAGGACAATATACTGGACACAATAACTTTGAGCAATGGAGGTGGAACTAATCTGGAAACATTCTTAAAATGCTGATTTCTTTGACATTTTATCATTTATACTGAAATACGTTGTGCTATTGTGTTTCTCATTTTCTCTTTTATATGGATTAGGTTTTAAATTCCTATATTAAAAGGCGGGATTAGCAGTTCTAGACTTTCCTAAAACAGGTGATGTGCACTGACTATAAAAACCATCTAATAATCTGTAATTCCATTCAAATTCAATGTATACTAAGATTCCTCAATCATTTTATTCATTAATTCCTACTTTTATTGCACAATAACTATTTTCTTTTTTCCTAAGATTGATATTGGATTTCATGCTGCTTATGGAAGTAACTTGTATAACACACATTTTTAAATTATAACAACTTTTTATTGTGATTATTTCATCTACACCTGAAAAAATTATTTGTTCTTCTTTTGTTGGGTATAATGCTCCACAACTATTAGTCTTGTCCGAAGGATCTTGCCACTCCGGTGTGTTCTATGCTGACCACTCTAAGCTCTGAAGAGTACAGATTCAGAAACGTTGCTGTGCAACTGTGTCTCTACCCCTCCACCTTGGGCTGTTTGCTTTGCTTTACCTCTGTGCTTCCTTTCCATTTTCCTGGCCCCTGCTGTTAGATCAGCATATATATTCACATATAAGCAATTGGTGATGCTCATAGCCCCTGGTACTTAGTTGACCTAGGAAGGCAAGGAGCATAAACTGTCCTTTATGTTCCTCTGACCAAATGAGGGTAGGCCTGAAATTATGGATGTTAAACATCCAAGAAGGTTAGTTCCACCATTCTGGTACTTTAAATTACCATATACCATGTATGCAAAGCTTGGGCAAAGACCAAACAGTCTCACATATACCTTGCCTAGACATATATTTCTTGATCTAGTTGTATGTATAATTTGTCAGTAGGTGGTTGGACTAATATGGTTCCCTCTGGTGTTTTAAAACCAGCTGGGCATTATTTTTCTCTTGCATTGTCTAAACCTTCCACCTTGGTTCTCCCATATAACCTGCCCCCATTTTTCCCATTTATCCCTTGCTAATACCATTCTCCTATGGTCCTACCTCTCTTGAGCTCCTTCTTTCCATTTATCCCCTAGGTTCGGTGTATAACCTTCCCCCTCCCCTCCCCATAAAATAACCCCATATTGAATTTCAAAGGGTTCAGAGTTGGGCAAGATTGCTGGTGA